GAGTATATTACAGGAAGGTGGGGGAATAACTTTACAATGAAGAAACTTGACAACCTCTGAAAGATTATCAAGCTCAACATGAACAGCAGTAAGTCATGGCCCTTAACAATCTGTACCCGTAAAATGATGAAATGAGAGTGCTACTTTATGATCTTCCTTCTAAAAATAGAATTTCAGTCTAATCAGGAAGAAAACATCAGAATTAAGGGGCAGTCTACAAAATTCTTAGCCGATACTTACCCAGACTGTCAACATTATAAAAAATAAGGCAAGACTGATAACATTTTATGGCCAAGAGTAGCCTGAAGAGTTGTGACAACTAAATGCTATATGATAACCTAGATGAGATCTTGAAATACAGCACAGTTGGCACAGACTAAAGAAACCTGAATAAAGTATAGACTTTAGTTATTAATGCATTAATAATGCTTTGTTACTTACAACAAACCATACTAAGGTAAGATGCTAAAGTCATTATAACAAAAATAAAGTCAGGTTATGATGTATCGCATTAGCTAAGAAACAGTTTACTCAATAAACTCATTGGTCTAGAGCGGGAACCAATTCAGAACTGACCTCCACTTGGTTTTCCAAGGCTATGAACTGTATGAGAGGAGACTGTCGTCCTCTTGCTCCCACAGAGAAGATAGTTGATTCAAAACGACAAAAAAAGAACAGCCTTTAGGTTTGTAGAGCAACTCCCTATGGACTAAGTCACTAGTTGTTGCTGGTACAGTGCACTCTTGAGCCAGAAATGGTTCACAGCTGGCTCTCCTGCAAGTTTTCAGAAGCAGTAAATCGCACAGGAGACAGCTCATCATTCTCCTACAGAGCAGCAGGTGGATTTGAACCCTATGCCTTTGGGATTGCAATGAATTTTCTTACCCCTAGGCCACCAAAGCACCCTTACAACAGTTTACAGGAGAATTTAAATGGAATAGGGACTTCAACAGAATGAATACGCCTTAAAACACAAACAAAAGGCAGTAAGAGCAAAGCAGATTCACACTGTAGTAAAAACAGAGAGAAGATCTATAAACTGAGTTTATCTATGTACATGACTCAAAAGCTATTGGTTAGCCATGCTGTTCTTGAAAATGTGCTAAGACACAAGCAGCATGCATGTAGGCTGGAGATGCCAACTAGTCTATCAGTTTTAGAGGCAGCTCACTCCCTTATTCTGTGCAGTTAGAAATGTGACAAGACAGCACACTCAGGGAAAAATTAGTTTGAAAATTGCATCTTCAGCCTTTCTGTTGGGGACTTTGTTTTAAACAACCACAAGAGCAGATGTTTCTATGTTTTACGAGGCGGACCCAGTAGGCACTCGTGAAATTTTAATAAAAAGATAATGAAAGAATAATTTAAAAAATTAGAGTTATTACTTTAACCTCTAACATTGAGCCCAGTATTATCACCCTGGGATGCATATTAGAATCACCTGGAGAGTTTTCAAGACTTCCAGGGTCTTGGCACCATCCCGGACCAATTATATCAGATCCCCTGGGGTGAGACCCAGGCAGGGGTAGTTTCTAGAGCTCCCCAGGTGATTTCAATGTGAAGCTTGGTTTGGAAACACTTCTCTGCAGAGAGTTAGTCTAAATTTTGAATACCAAACAATACAAGCAGGACCAGGCATCTTTGGAATATAATACTCTAATTTCCATCCCACTCAACTGAATACAAAACTATAAAGTTTGTTATTTCAGTCAACAATTCCCAGATTGCATTGACTTTCTCTCTTCAGAATATTTCTAGAGTAGAAGCAATCTTTTAAACCCAGATTTTTTTTTTCTTTTTCTCACTGTTCTTACGGTAAGGAGCCTTGGTTGCATAGTAGCAGCTAAAGTCTTTGGCTATTACGTGAAAGGTGAACTCTTTCAACACGTGTCCACTTTTTGGGAGTAAAAAAATGTAGCAGATAACTTCCACAAAGATTTATAGCAGAGATCCAAGGAGGCAGTTCTACTCTATCCTGTAGGGTCACAGTCAACCTGTTGCTAGGAGTTGTTGGTTTATCCCTACAGCATGAGGCACAAACTGTGAATGAGAACTTATATTCTCCTTACTTTATTTATCCTTTTATATGGTCATTTTAAAATAAGGGAGAGGGGAAAGCCTCTAACTCTCTAACTTACTTCTTCACTTAAATGTTTCAAAACAAAATTATTTAAATATATCTTTGGTTAAACAGCATGAAACTCAATGAGGTATTTCCTTTATTTTTTTAATGGTCACTAACTCTGGATAGTTTTGACGTGGCCAAGTTACTCAATGATATTACATCAGAGGCAGGCTGTGACCTGTGATTGCTCTGAAAAGTAGGCAGTTTTTGGCCATTTGGGCACGACCTGCTAATCTGTGGAATGGCAGCATTTTTTCCTGGATGAGAGCTCTCCTTACTTGTTCAGCATCATGAAAATTTGCTCTAATTGGAGGAAGTCATCCATCCCTGATTGAGAACACACAATAAGCAATAATGGGAAAAGACAACTTGAATTAACCTGACGCCTTGACATTACTCCCAAATAGTATCTGGTGTGTACTTAAACACTGCATTTCTAAGAAATGGACAACTTTACCATGTAAGGGATAAGCATAAAAATTCCTCCCAGCCCACAAAAATTATTTTAATTCGTTTTTTTCCCTTCCCCTCCTTGAAGGTATTCTGGTAGTATAGGAAATGAAATTAACACTCCCTTGTTGCTGAATATGAATACAAAGTCATTCCCAATCAAAAAGGTGGCTACAAGACTACAATTATTAATAACTTCCAAGTAGTAGCGTATTTGTCGGGGAAGAAAGATGGGAAATCTCCACTGGTAAAGATTTACAATCTCAGAAACCTGATGGAAAGTCACTATGAGTAAAAGTCCATCCATGCCCTGAGTAATGTAATAAGGAAATACCATTCAGCAATAAAAAGGAAGGGTGTACTGATTGATATTAGCCACAGCTTGCACTATTATGCTAGTTGAAAGGACCCCCAAAAACCATATATTGTATGATTCCATTTAAATTAAAAGACAGTTCTACAGAGACAGAAAATGTTTGTCTAAGGCTGGGATATCCCATGGACTGCCAAAAGAACAAAACATGTATGTCTTGAAGAAGGTGCAGCCAGAAGGCAAAGATAAAGATTTATCTCAGATACACAGGGCATGTTGCTAGGAAAGGCTTTTCCTTGGAGAGGAACATGATGCTTGGAAAGGTGACAGGACAGCAAAAGAGAGGAAGATACTCAACAGATAGATGGATTGGCACATTGACTGCAGCAATGGGCTCTAAATGTGTCAGGAAGTGTGAGGACGGCACAGGATAGGACAGGGTTCAGATCTGTTGTTCATAGGGCTTCCATGGGCCATACTCACTCCACAGCACCTAATAACAACAGAGCTGAAATGGAGATTGCTTATGGCCAGGAGGAATTTCTGAGAAGAGGTAACGAGTGATTACTTTTTTATTTTTAAACTGGGTTGTGGGGATAGTTGTCTATCATTCACTCAATAGTACACTTTAAATGAACTAATTTCATGATATGCAAACTGTAAATGAAACCTTTAAGCTGTTTCCAGAGCAGTCTCAAAGTGGTCCGTAATTTGTTGGGCCTTCTCCCTACCTCCACTCTAGTAAATACAGTTTGTTCTCATTTGCACCTGCGTAAAGCTACGTTTTGGACCAGAAAGTTCTCAAATCTGCAGTTCTGCAAGGATCTCAAGACACCCCAGGACTTGGAATTTGGGATGGCAGTCAGGCATAAAGCATTCCTGATCTAGAAAACAATAAAATGCAAATCTAACTGCTCCCCAGGTTTCTGAATCACCTCACAAAGGTAGCCCTCCCTTTAACAGTAAATAGACAATAGGGAGAATGGAGCTCCAGCAGAAACCAAGTTCATGGCCAGATCCCTAAAGTTCACAGAACTTTAAAGTTCAAAGTTCATGGGATTTCTAACAAAAGCAGAGCACGTATTCACAAAATCTGAGTTGGCTTTACTTTAAAAGTAGGAACTGTGGCTCTCGGGTGGATGCTGCTGTGTCAGCACGCGGGAGCTGGGGTTCGAACTCGAAATAAACTTTGTTAATTCGGCTAAAAAAAAAAGTAGGAACTGTGTTTTGAAGGGAGCACGAAGTTGGGGAGTTTTGTACTTTGGCTGCGTGAAGCAACGGGTTAGTAACTCTCCAGGTGGGAATGGAGGCCGATTCCGTGTTGACCATCGGTGGGGAGGGAATTTGTGCTTGGGAGTCATCACTCACAGCTCTGAGTCTCACCAGCGCGTCCCCAGGTTGTGTTTCTAGCTTCCTCAGGAACTGGCCCCGACGAAGCTGAAGCGGGTCCGGCCAGGCCGCCTAGTTTCTTCCTAGGACCTTCGTGCCGCCCCAGGGGACGAACGCCGCGTCCAGGTGGCAGAGCCCCACTCTGCGGGCAGAGGCGCCTTCGTGCCGGCCTCACCCCCGGGGAGTCCCGGGTGGGGCGGCGACAACGGGAGCTGGACGGCGGCCCCGGGAGACATGCCCGCAACCCCCGCCCGCGCGCCCCCCTCACAGTGCTCATGCGCGCCGCTCGGCTTTATAGCGGCGGCGGGCAGCACGCTCTCGGCACTCCGGCGCTGCCGAGCTGATCCCGCGCAGGTGTCGCTGCCTGGACGTTTGCTGCAGGCGTGCAGCTCCTGGACGTCTGTATGTCTTTCAGTCTGTCTTGTCTTTGTCTCGCCGAGTTCTTCTGGCTATCTTCATCTTGTCTCCTCCAACCTCCTCCCCACTCCAGGTTCTGGGTTTTAACTCGGTCCGCAGCTGGACAGTAGCCCTCAGATCGCCAGGGGCGCTGGGTCATTTGGTGTCCCCCTTCGTCTCGGTCGCCCCTGGGTTTCCGAGGGGTGCAGGTCTCTGAGGACCAGGCGGTGAGAGTGGACGCAGCTGGGTGGGAGCTTGGGGGCCTCCATCCGCGAGAGTTCACCTCGTATTCTCTCTCTCCCAGGTCCAAGCAGCCCTTTGACCACCATGTCTGTAACCTGGATCCTGGTTCTCTGCCTCGGTGGGTACGAACACTCAGCTCCACATTTCTCGCGCCAGGCGGGCTGGAGACTGGAGACAGCCCTCGCGCTTTTTTCTTTGCAGGTGTCTTTCTGCTGCTGTCGGAACCCGCGGGCAGCGAAGGGGCTGGTGAGTTGCGTGTTTGGAGGTCGAAGGAGCAGGGTTCGATGCAGGCGGGGTAAGGAGCGAAGGACGAGCGGGTAGAAGCGAGCTCGGACGGAGATGGAGGGTCGAGGTTTGGAGCTGCCTGGTGCGCCCACCTTCAGCAGCACAGCCTCCTCGTGCGATTTCCTGGACTCTGCCTTAGGTTTCCCCCATGCCGAGGGACCCTTCGGGTTGGGTGGGGTTATTCTACCCAAGCCCAGGAAAAGCCCCCACCCCTGGATTTCGGGGTATCCATTGTGCCCCACGGAGTGACACTCTAGTCGTACAGGGTTCTGCCGAAGATCTAGCTGTCAGCCTCGAGAAAAACTGACTTCTTTGATCCCGGGACTACGTTTTCTTGGAGTAACTCCCAGACAGCATAGTCTTTGCGGCTTATTTTCATATATGAGAAAGCCTAAAAGATTTTGTTTCACGTGTGGAGTCCTGGTGTGGATGTGTGGTTCTGTGTGTTTTCTGTAGTTTAAAATTTTCTTCTGTAAGTCTATTGTTTGTTTTCCTGGAGGTAGCAGCAGTAAGGGGTAAGTATTCCGACTGGGGTGTACTCACCTGCACCCGCTCCCACTGCAGTCAGTGTTGGCAGCTTAAGGCCATTGGTGTACCAACTGCTACTGTCCCTACTTGAGAAAATGGGAGGAAGGATTAAGGCTGTTTGATAATAGGTATGATTACCATAGCTACTGCTTTTGGCAAGAATTTGAACTTCCCCAACTCCCTGGAATGTTTCTAAGGCATTGGTATTGGACTTGGCATGCTGCCTACCATACCGTGGACATGCTCTGCCTGGATGGGATCGCGCAGCTCAGCAGCACAAAGGGCGCTGACGGTTACTAGGGGGACCCTGGTTAAAGGCAAGCTGCTCAGTGGGCTGTATGAGCAGATAATTTCACTCTGTGTTGGTGGTGGGAAATAATATGTTTCAAAAAGGTTTGGATGGATGATCAAATTTTCCTGTGCTTGGAAAAGAATATTTGATCACATCAGTCCGAATTTAACATTCACAGTTGATGAGTGATCATGCCTTTGTCAATCTTATCTTGGTTTGCATTGCCAAGGGCTTCTATCTCCACTCATCATCTTTTTGTAGTGAAAACTTTGATTCTTTCTTGGGTTGCTTCTGTGTTAAATTTAAGAGTATTAACAGTGCTTTCTAAAAGCCTGATAGATCTCTCTAGACAGATCTGGAGCAGAAATAGTCAGGTTCAATTAAGATAAAAATGCTCCATTCCAAAGAGACCGACTTCTCTGTTCCCTGTCCTGTGGAAGTTGCAGAAGGCTCCCTGGGCAGTATGACCTTGGGTAAATTAATTCCATGCCTTTTAATTCCCTCATTTGTGAAATGAATGGTGGAACTGAGTGATAATTTGATAATCCAAGCATCGTTTTTACTGGTTTGTCATAATTAATAAGTAGTTTTAAAGCACTGATTTTGGAGGAGAAATAGTCCTTTAAAACAATGACTTAAGAATATGTGTGTGTTTCTATGGGATGTGCCTCAGTCAATCCAGATCTAACATCTGCACCTTGAGCAGTGCCATCAGGGCTGAGATTTTCTACTTATTAAATAAACAAGTGGTTAATGACTAATACTATTTAGTTCTTATAAAATTTGCCATGTACTTCAAACTGAGCAAACTGAAGAAATTCTCATATTGGATTTTTACAGTGCCTGGGGTCTAGATTAGGAGTTCTGGGGTGATTTAGTACAAGATTGCATGTTGAGCTGCTAACCAAAAGGTTACCAGTTCAAATCCACCAACAGCTCTGTTAGAGAACGATGAGGCAGTCTGCTCCCACCTTAGAAACCTGAGGCAAAGTGGCATTGAGTGGTATCAACTTGATGGCAAAGAATTTAATGTTTTAGTGGTTTGGAGACTGAAAAACTTTCATTTTGCTAAATTCTACTAGAATTTACCCAGAAGTAAAGAAATTAGAGAAGTTAAACATAAATCTCATACCCCAGTTACCCACAGCCAACTACACCTCCCCAAGCCTCCCCCCCCCAAAATCCTAAGAATGCTTGCTACTCTTTCTCCTTTCTCCTCAGTTCCCATAGCTATTACATGCTTTACCAGAGGCCTAGACATCAGAAAAGAGAAAGCAGATGTTCTCTGCCCAGGGAGCTGCCCTCTTGAGGAATTTTCCGTGTTTGGAAACATAGTGTATGCGTCTGTGTCAAGCATCTGTGGCGCTGCTATCCATAGGTAAGCCCAGACATGCCAAAGTGAGAAAAGAACCACTGTGGCCAGTTACTATGTTAGTGAGCCTACGCACCATTTTCTTTCTCTTGGTGCCAGTTTTGACCATAGAAGACAGACATTTTTAAGGTTGTTGGTTTTTTTGGTTTTTTTATCCTAGTATCTTTGAAACACTAAATAAGGAAAACTTTCTGTCTGAAAGTGAACTGTATTACTTCTTGAGAGCAAGATTCTTATGATTCTAAAACATTTCCGATCATGTAATATATTACTGAGTTCTTACTATGTTTTAACTCCCAGCACAACTCTCCAAGGTAGGTACAGCCTAACCTCATTTTAACAGATGATGAAACGGAAAACTCAAAAGTTGTTCAATACCTTCTTCAAGGTAACTGTTATTAATGACAGCTCTTGCTTCTAAAGGCCATGTTTGTCATCACTGTGCCATAGAGTTGTCTGTATACTGCCATACAATGGCTAATACAGCATTTCACTTGAATTAAGTCCAAAGACATGCAATTAAAGTGAGTAGTTTAGAAAACCAGGAAAATTGCTTGGAGCTCTTTTAAGTAACTCTGAATCTCTGCATTGCAGAGAACAGGATAGTTAATTGTATGCTACTACAAGTATGTTCATATCAACACTTAAGAAGTTTGACAGCACAATACCATTTCCCTGGGCAGTTTTATTCCAGTGTAAGCAAGTTTTAAAAGCCTGGCATCCTTAACTGGCTTCCCTGCTGAACTATTTTCTTGATTAATCAGAGCAATAGATGCAACGTGGCACTGTAAGCCAGTTGGGTGCCCCTGAAAAGTGTGGATAGAATCTCAGCCATTATTCTTGTGTTGCAGGGGAGTAATCAACATCTCAGGGGGACCTGTGCGAGTGTATAGCCTACCAGGTCGAGAAAACTATTCCTCAGTAGTTGCCAATGGCATCCAGTCTCAAATGCTTTCCAGATGGTCTGCTTCTTTCACAGTGACTAGTAGGTACAATTATATTGCTCTCACTTTTGTGTAAATACCTACCTCCTCCAAATAAGTCCTCTGTCTTTCTGAATGTAGCCTCTTTGTAATGAAAAAAAACCTGTGATCAGGGCAAAAGAAGTCAAATGTAGGCTGGAACCAAGTACCCCACTCATGCCAGTTTAAATGAATGGGGAAAGAATGGTCATGCTATCAGAAGACGTCAGTGAAAACTTGGATTATCTGCACTGTTTCTTGTTGCTCACCAAGTTCAGGCAGACCTCAGATTATTAACTAGCTCTGTTCCTAAATCTTTTAAGTAAAATTTGTACATAAAATGTAACACTTAGAAATAGGTTCATATTTACTAACAGTTAGTTAAATGTTTATCTTGGTTAATGCATATGGTATACATTTCTGTGTATTTAAAAAATTAAAAACTTCCCAATATGCCTAAATATCTTTAACATAGTTGCAAAGTAGCACCATTTTGTTATTACAAAAATATACCTAAAGTTTTAATAAGCATCTTAGGAGTTAAGCATAGGTTTGTTAGCAACTACTTGTAAGTTGAATATTCGCAACCTGGGGACTTCGTGTAGCACTAAACCAAAAAGCTAGTGCATGCACATTTGGAGATCCTTTGTAAAAAAGGATATACTTGATAAGAATTCAGTTTGTTTCACTGAAACTTTCATGCAGCTTATTTACTCTTGCAAGCACCAATACCCTACTAACATTTAGCATCCTATACCCATAGCTTTTGGGTTGATTCTGACTTAAAATGACCCAACAGGACAGAGTAGAACTCTCCATTAGTTTTCTTTAGCTGTAAATCTTTATGAAGGTGGATTGCCACGTCTTTCTCTCAATGAAAAGTGACTTACTGTTAATTGTCAAGTTTTTGGTTAGCAATTGAGTGCTTAACCACTGTGTCACCAGGCCTCCTCCATTATCCTATTAAAAAAACTTCACTGCTGTTGAGTTGATTCTAACTCATAATACCTTTTGAGGCTGTAAAATGTATAGGAAGAGACTGCTCATCCTTCTCCCAAGGAGCTACTGGTGGATTCAAACTGATGGAGACTGCAGCCTTTGAGTTAGCAGTGTAACTTGCTACCAACTATGCCACAAGATCTCCCTCTATCCCAGTATCCTGTGGTAGTGGTGTTATGTACTGTTGAATTAGAATCTGTTCATAGCTGACCCTCCAGACAGTTCTCAGAGGCAGCAAATCAGATGGAAGGAGATGGTTTATCCTTTCTCCACAGAGCAGCTGGTGGATTCAAACCATGTGTCTTTGAGTCGACAGTGCAGCTCTTTACCACTAGGCCACCAAGAGCTCCCTAATATGCTATGTTGTTGTGGGCCATCAAGTTGAAATTGACTCATGGCTTACCCTCCAGAGGGATTTTAGAGGCTGTTAATCACATGGGAGGAGATCGTCCATCTTTTGTCCATGGTGCAGTTGTTGGATTTGAACTGTGTGCCTTTGGAATTGCAGTGCAGCTTCTTACGACTAGGCCACCAGAACTACCTAATATGCTATGTTGCATGCAACTCATACTGACTCTATGCACAACTCTGAAGGCTGCCCCGTCCTGAGCCAGTCTCCCTGACCCCGACATACTTACCCCCATTTCCCTACTTACTGTATCAGTCCATCTCATCCGGGGTATTCCTCTCCTGTGCTGTCCCTACACGTTTCTGAGCATGATGTCCTTCTCCAAAGATTGGTCCCTCCTGGCCACATACACAAAGTATGTGAGATGGAGCTTCAAAATCAGCCTCCAAGCAGAAACATGGTTTCACTCTCTCCAAGACAGACTTGTCTTCTTGGTGGTCTATGTATGTTCAAGACTATTCCCCAGCACCACAACTCAAAGGCATCAGTTTTTCTGTCATCCTTAGTCACTGTTGAGCTCTCTTTTGCAAAGCAAGTAATTGTGAAGACTATGGCCTGGATCAGGTGCTCGTTAGTCTCTAGACTGACATCATTGCTTTTCAGTACTCTGGAAAGATACCTGACAGCAGATTTATCTAATGCAGTTCATCTTTTGAGTTCCTGACTGCTGGTGCCAGGAGTATTGATTGTATATACTATAGGACCCTAAATTAGATTATGTTTTGATGATGGAGGAGGAGGAAAAAAGATATCTTTTTATTTTAACAGAAGGCAAAAGTGGTTCCCAGGAAGCCACGGGACGAGCAGTGTCCACAGCACGTCCACCAACAGGTATGGAATATGGAACCTATCTCCTAGTTATGTGGCACTGTGCATGAATATTCAGAGCTCTCCTTCAAAAAGTCATTTTAAGAGAAAGCAGATATCTCAAGTTAACTGGTATATCACATAGGGAAAAACAATTTATGGTTCACATTCCTTATGTTTAATATTACTCAATTATGAACTTTACTAGAAATCATTCTCTTGAGTCCTGCCACTCCTTCCTAATTTGATAAACTACATTTAGGAAATTATCAAAGTACCATAACCATTTTTGTAGTTTGACCTGTTTCATTATGTTCCCTTAGTTACTGTTCTGTCATGAATAAAAGGAATTAATGTGTGCCCTCTGTTATGTGCCATCAGGTTGGAACTGGAACTGACTCATAGCTGAACCTCCAGCAGGTTTTCAGTGGCTTTAAATTACACAGGAAAAAGATTGTCCGTCCATGGAGCAGCTGGTGGATTCAAACTGTTTGCCTTTAGGTTGGCAGCGCAACTCTTTACCCATTAGGCCATCAGAGATCCTAAATGGAAGACATATCAAATATACAGGACTATTAATGGTGTTAATTCTTGTGGCCTAATGGCTGAAAGCTGTGCTGCAATCCTGAAGGCAGTTTGAGGCCACCAGCTGCTCCGCGGGATGAGGATGGGCAGTCTCCTCCCATGCAATTTACTACCTCTGAAATCCCACTTGGTGGGTCAGCTATGGGTGACTTCTGACTCTATGGTACACAATAACCTATGATGTTAGTTTGTGGTTTTGCATACCCCTTGCTTCTTCAGCCCAGAAGATGATAAGAAATTTGAAAAACTCTCTCCAAGCATGACTCTCCTTGTCATGAGTTTTTCCCTCATGGGCTTCTTGCTGTAGAACTGTTCTCTGTTAATGCCAGGTGCTCTGTTTCAGGTAAACGATTGAAGAAAACACCTGAGAAGAAAACTGGCAATAAAGGTAAGAGTTGAGATACCAGTTTGTGAAAATTTTTATTTCCCGGTTCTCTTGTCATCTTCTGTTTCGTAAGTAAGACTGTTGACAGAAAGTACTTGTTTGGATGTTCACAGACTGCAAGGCAGATATTGCATTTCTGATTGATGGAAGCTTCAATATTGGGCAGCGCCGATTTAATTTACAGAAGAACTTTGTTGGGAAAGTGGCTCTGATGTTGGGAATTGGAACAGAAGGACCACATGTGGGTCTTGTTCAAGCCAGGTACCAATTTTGTTACAATGGAGGAAATTTGGACTATATCTTGAGTGATGACAAATCAGTCCTTTTAAATGAGTTCAATATAAGTTGTGAATAACCTGGATTCTTAAACTCAAATTCAGTTGTGGGGTGCTTTTTTAATCTTTCATTTATATTTTTGTTTCATACAATCCTTCATATACATTCTATTTTACATTAATTTTTAAATTGGTTTGCTTACAAAAAAAATTGGTTTGCTTACAAAGTTTATGTACATTGTATTTCACATTATGCTTCATTCACATAATGTTCACACAATCATTCTCATCCATTATTTTTTTATAAAAACCATCACTATTGGACGTTGCCAGTCATTACCCTGTCTTTTCACCCAGATCCTTCCCATTTGCGTCTGCCCCACCTCCATCCACCAAACTATGCAGCCCTGGATTTCAGCCTCACCTGAGAAGAGTGGATAATCTAAGTGTCTCTACTTTTGAATAAAATGATTTAGAGAATTGGATCTATTTGAGGACCAGAAGATAATCTAAATTATGCAGATCATTCCTGCACCCAAATTCCCTTCAATTCTTATTTTCTCATTTCTGAAGAGATCAGTGATATGTCAATTCCTTATTCCTATTCTACTGTAACTCTTTTTTGCTTTTTCAGTATTTCTTTGTTAGGAAGGCTAACATATGACCTTTTTTATACTGATTTTTTTTTAATGTAACTGTTAGGATTACAAACCTGATTATAGAAAACTTGAGAAACATACTAAGTGCAAAAAAAATCGTATCACTTAGTGATAATCAGTTTTCTTTCATTATTTTTGATATCTGACTACACAAATGTATTTTTTCCAAAGCTCAGACTGTAATGTCATGTAATTTTACTTCCCGCATTTTGAATATTTTATCATATCCCACAATGTTTCATAATGATCCTTTCAATGATAGTTTAATCTTTCTTCTATTGTTTAATTATTACTAATTACACCATGTTAAAAATCCTTCTATCAACCTTGTGACTATCTCTCATTATTAGGATAGATTCCTACAAATGAGATGACTGACATACTTACAGCAGTAGTGTATAGCATGTCTTCAATACTATTACAAATACTAATTATGTTGTAAAATTAGCTCTTAATCTAGTGTATGGTCTGCTGCTGAAGATTGGTCTCTCATACTTTGGGTATGTTGTTAGGAGAGGCTATTCCTTGGAGACGGCCACCGTGCTTGGAAAGATGAAGGGTCAACAAAAGAGAGGAAGACCCTCAACAAATTGATCCAACAGTGGGCTCAAGTGTGTCAGAGATGATGAGGATGGCACAGGATAGAACAGGGTGTCAGATCTATTTTTCACAGGGTTGCTGAGCCATACTTGACTCAACAGCAATTAACAACTAGTGTATGATGTGAGAATTTTTCTTGTTTTTTAGTTTAACCATTATTATCATTGTCTTGCAAAACTTGGACAGGTCTATTTCTTTAATATAGCTAGCTCTTAAATCTTTTCCATTCTGCTTTCAATTTTGTAGCTTTATTCTATATTTCAGTACCTCGTAAGGTAAATTCTTTTGCGTTACTTTTTTTAAAATAAAATTTTTCTTTTAAACTGGTTTACTTACAAAGTTCGTATACTGGAAAGCATTATGCTAAGTAAACTGACTGAGTCCCATAGGGACAAATACTGAATAAGACCATTATTGTAGAACATGTATGAGGTTGCATTACTTTTCTTACAAGTTTTTCTTGGTTACATGACTTCAAAACTATGAGCTACATTTTTTAAAACTCATAAAGATTATCTAGTTTCTAAACTTATTTTATTGCACTTCTGTGTTAGGAAGAATGTTGTTGTGTTCTATCAACTCCATTCTGACTCACAGCAACTTTAACGGGACAGGATTAGAGCTGCTCCATAGGGTTTCTAGGCTGTTTGTTTTTTTTTAAATGGGAGCAGACTACTGACCATTCAGTAGGACACTTAACCATTGCACAAGTAGGGCTCTTTGGGAAGAACATTGGTGGTGGCAACGTGTGCTGTCGAGATGGAATTGACCCATTACTGACCTCCAGTGGGTTTTCAGAGGCAGTAAATCACTTGGAAGGAGACTGCTTATCCTTCTCCTTGGAGTAACTGGGGAATTTTAATCGTGTGGTGTTGTGACTGCAGTGCAGCTTCTTGCCACTAGACTGCCAGAGAACATTAAATTAGATAAAGCATGCCAAGATTTTCTGTTTAATGGCAGGATCTATTTTGCATTAAGGATGCAAATATAAGAATAATCCTAAAAGTCTTAACTTGAATAGTTGAAAAATTCTCACCATAAAAAGTGAAATATGCCAGTGTTCTGGTGGCCTAGTGGCAAGAAGCTGCACTGCAATCCCAGAGGTATGTGGTTCAAATCCACCAGATGCTCTACTGGAGGAGGGACAATCTCCTCCTGTACCACTCAGATCTGATTTGATGGTATACACAAAAAAGTAAAATATGTCACCAATTCATAAAATTGATTGTACAACCCAACATTCCACTTGGTCTCTCATTGCCATTGAGTTGAAACTGAGTCATGGATGATCCTTTAATGGGTTTTTGAGATGAAGAAAAATCTCTCAGGAAGAGGCTGCCCACATGCAGAGCCAGTGGTAGATTTGAACCATTAGAGAGGCAGAGCATTTATGATTAGCAGTGCACCTATGACTACACCACCAGAAACAGAACTGATCCAGTGTTGTATCTGTTCCTCAGAAATCTTCACTTAAGTTATACTGATGCCAAAATATTTACGATTTCCATGTATGAAATATTCACTAGTCCTAAAATGAAACACAATAAATGGTTAATGACTTTTCTTACTGAAAATTATCTCTTATGGGCACAAAATAATATATAAAAGTGGGATGACTTTTTAAATAATTAATATGGACAATAAAATTCTAAATTTCTTAAATACTGGCCAAGTGTCAGTATCACCTATAATAAGAAAAAATGCATGCTGTAATACCAGAGTACAATACTAAGTATTAAGAGATTGCAGTATTTTATACTACATCTCTGATTTCGAAACTGTTGGCTTTTAGTGTCATTGAAATGGCCTCTTCTGATCAGAGATCAAGTCCACTGAGTGCTTTCTGGGTCTTGTATCAGAGAACACATAGCTTACACTTCAGGGCCCTCCCATGGTTAAGTAAGCCTTAAGCCTGGTTCTGGTTGCTCCAGTTTAGCTAAGGACTTTGGAGCCAGAAAAATCTGAATTTAAAATGTAGCTGGGTTGGGGTTTTTCCCCCCCCTCAAACTACCTAAATGTTGAGCATCAATTCATTCATCTATAAAGCAGGGATGGTAACTTCTATATTAAGTCGCTGTGAGTTAGAACAGACTCAAAGGTATCTAACAACAAAATCAATTATGATAAAATAAGATTATCTTTTATGTATTTTAGTATATTACTCAGAATATAATGCACTCTCAAAGTCCTTGTTACATTTCTGGAATATTTTTATGTAATTTAAATAAGAACCCAGTGCTTTAGTTAACAATATACTGTGACAGAAATAATGATTTAACTTAAAAATGTATTCTTAGAGGCCTTTGATGCTGCTTTCACTATTTTAGTTTTCCCTTAATACTATTTTCTTGTTTTCCTACTAGTGAACACCCCAAAATAGAATTTTACCTGAAAAACTTTACATCAGCCAAAGATGTTTTGTTTGCCATAAAGGAAGTAGGTTTCAGAGGGGGTAATTCAAACACAGGTAAGTAGATGTGGGTACCTGCCATGCAACCTAGGAGTTATCAGACATAAAAAACAATTTTGCATGATTTTATACAGATATGAAACTCTTCTTCCTGGCACTGAAATATGTTAGGTTGGCACTTGCTCATCTGATGACAAATCAGTTTATAACTGGAAATCAAAGGATTAACTGGTACGGCTAATTTTTAAAAAATCCACAGCATGTATCCTTTATCTGAGAGAGAGTGGTAAAAATTAGAATACTGCTGACCTTAAGACTTCTTGCTCTGCTCAATCTTTGAGAGTACTGGTCAGACATTAAAGGGTTAGCGCATGCAAAAATTACTGCTGGTTGCTATCAAAAAAGGAAATGTTAAGCTTCTGAAGGTTGAAGGGGAAGTAAAGTGAGTTGTAAATGGAAAAAAATACCAAGAGGGATAATAAAACTTTCCCATTTGATATAAGAGTGTCAAATCCTTAATGATAGTGGGGTCAAGTTGCTGCAGAGAAGTACAAATGCCATTTCTGCAGTGGTAAATGCTACTCTAATCTACTTTTTTCCAACCTAGGGAAAGCTTTGAAGCATACAGCCCAGAAATTCTTCACAGCAGACACTGGAGTGAGAAAAGGGATCCCCAAAGTGGTCGTAGTGTTTATTGATGGCTGGCCTTCTGATGACATTGAGGAAGCGGGCATTGTGGCCAGAGAGTTTGGTGTGAATGTATTTATAGTTTCAGTAGCCAAGCCTATCCCTGAAGAACTGGGGATGGTTCAGGATGTTGCATTTGTTGATAAGGTAAGATGGTGAGAGGACTTCCTGTTATGGTAGTTAACTATGTTCTGGACTACAGACTGGTTGGCCTGTTTCTGAATGTTGTAAAGTGCTGTTGAGTCATAGACATAGCATACAAAAGACCTGAACACTTGTTTAACTTTCATCGTTAGTCTCAAAGTTCAGTTTCTGGAGGCAAGCTATTTAGGAAGTGAATGCCACTCCAGCTTCCATACAAAATTAAATGCTTTCCATAATCTTAGGAAATAGAGCACTGATGGCCTAGTGGCAAAAAGCTGTGAAATCCCGACAGCACGCAGTTCGAGGCCACAGCTATTTCACGGGAGAAGGATGGGCAGTCTTTCTCCATGTGATTAACTGCCTTTGAAAATCCTCTGGAGGGTCAGCTATGGGTTGGTTCTGATTCTACAGTATACAACAATCTTTAACAATTTATCATTTTGGGTATCTTCTGTCTCTCTCTCCCATTAGGCAGTCTGTCGGAACAATGGCTTCTTCTCTTACCATATGCCTAACTGGTTTGGCACCACCAAGTATGTAAAGCCTCTAGTACAGAAACTCTGTACTCATGAGCAAATGATGTGCAGCAAGACCTGCTATAACTCTGTGAACATTGCCTTCCTTATTGATGGCTCCAGCAGTGTTGGAGATAGTAATTTTCGTCTAATGCTAGAATTCATTTCCAACATAGCTAAGACTTTTGAAATCTCTGATATTGGTGCCAAGATAGCTACTGTACAGTTCACCTATGATCAACGCCCAGAATTTGGTTTCACAGATTATAGCACCAAAGAGAATGTCCTCGCGGTTATTAGAAACATCCGTTATATGAGTGGTGGAACAGCTACTGGGGAAGCGATTTCCTTTACTGTCAGAAATGTGTTTGGTCCCATGAGGGATAGTCCCAACAAGAACTTCCTAGTAATTGTCACTGATGGGCAGTCCTACGATGATGTCCGAGGCCCTGCTGCTGCTGCACATGATGCAGGTAAGTCCTTTGCAGGGGAAGGGCACAGAGTCTGGTAAATTTTAGGATTAAGAACTTGAAAATTTTTTTCATTGAACCAATCAGTTTGACAGGCATATTTTTTTTAACCTAATATTAACTCACTTGTCAAAATAGTTCTATTACCTTTGTTAACAGATAAGGAAAGCCAAGAGAGAAATGTGGCTGTGTACCTAATGACCATCCAAGAAAACCAAGTCATTATATGAAAGAATTGCTTCACATGTTCTTGATGGCTCAAATTTTATATCCTAAATGATCATTTGCCCTAAATTACTCCGAATCTGCTATGCAATAATCTCAATTAGACATGAGTTTTCTAGTATCTTCAGTGAAGATTAAAATCCTATCCCATTTTACTGTCTTCCCCAACCCCTTGAAATAATGCACTAACTGTGGTGCTGTAAATGAGTATATGTAATACTTCCTTCATGCTAACCTTTTACTACTTTTTTAAACATTACTTTTGGCCCAGGACATAAGTTCCTGTAGACATTAGCATAAAGGATTGCTCAGATCAAATAGGTCAAGAATTCCCTTTCCCAGAATATAAATGAGTGGTATGTCTCATCTTATTTAAAAATAAAAATACTATCTGGGCAGGGATGACAAAAAATCCATATCTTTTCTATACTTTGTGACTAGAAAAAATAATTTTTTTCTTCCTACACATTAAGACTTCTGTTAATGTTCATATATAGGGGCTGTGTGTGTACATGCTATTTCATGAGGAAATAGGTGAATGATTGCAAAGTGGAAGGCTGAGTGATATGGGTGGCTTTGTCAACTGAGACAAATCAATTTGACAATATTTGTGCCTATGTAGATGATGGAAAAGTATTATGGTTACACTTTTAAATATACACATACATATATTACTCCATACACACACACCAGGACAGAGTACTAATGTAGGCAATTTAAACTGTGTATTTAATTGTGCTAATGCGAAACCTATACTTGGACCAAGAGGCAGTAGTCAGAACAGAGCAGGGTAACACTGCATGGTTCAAAATTGGGAAGGGTGTACGCCAGGGATGCATCCTGTTTCCATACCTTTTCAACATGTATGCAGAGCAGATTATCTGAGAGGCTGGGCTCTATGAGAACTGTGGCATCTGGATTGGTGGAAGATCTATTAACAATCTGCATTATGCAGATGACACAACCCTGCTTGCTGAAACTGAGGAGGACCTCATGCACTTTCTGCAGAGGGTCAAGGACTGCAGCCTTCAGTATGGACTGAGGCTCAATGTCAAGAAGACAAAGATTCTTACCACTGGACCAATTGGCAGCATCAGGATGGATGGTGAAGAGATTGAGATTGTTCACAGCTTCAGTTTGCTCAGCTCCACAGTCAACACTCTTGGCACCAGCAGTCAGGAAATCAAAAAGCGTATCGCGATGGGAAAGTCTGCTGTTAGGGACCTCTCTAAAGTACTCAAGAGTAACGGTGTCTCTCTGGAGACTAAGGTGCACCTGATACAGGCCATGGTTTTTGCAATTGCTTGTTATGCATCAGAGAGTTGGACAATGACTAGGGAGGACAGAAGGAGAGTTGATGCCTTTGAGCTGTGGTGCTGGAGAAGAGTACTGAATGTACCTGGACTGCCAGGAAAACAAACAGATTCATCTTGGAGAGGATTAAACCAAGCAGCTCGTTGGAGGCAAGGATTCTGGGGCTTCATCTGACATACTTTGGACATGTTGCCAGGAGGCACGCGTCCTTGGAGAGGGACATCATGCTTGGGAGGGGAAGACCCTCTATGAGATAGATTGATTCGGTGACTGGGGTTATCGGGATGGGTGTGTCAGAGGCAGTGCGGTTGGCGCAGGACAGAGCAGGGTTTAGGGCTGTTGTGCATAGGGTCACTATGAGTCGCAAACGACAAGTCGGGTTGACAGCACATAACAACAACATCTAGTTATTAAGTATCTTACACACAGTAACCAATCTATGTTGACATGAAAACCTATTATCATGTCAGAAATTATAAAATGTAGCTTATACATAATGTCAACCTACTTTTATATTCAATTTTTCACAACTTTTGAGTACTGTATACCATTAGGAGAATGAAGTCTTTGATTGTAGGGGAGTAGCTGGTATACACACTTGCAAAACAGTATTCTTCTTAGTAGGCAGTTTTGTCTACAACTATGTATTATTATTTGGAAAAATATTTAACTTTATATAAAACCTAGTGTCACTTCCCATTATCTCTATTATAGGCATCACCATTTTCTCTGTTGGCGTGGCTTGGGCACCTTTGGATGATCTGAAAGATATGGCCTCTAAACCAAAGGAATCTCATGCTTTCTTCACAAGAGAGTTCACAGGATTGGAACCCATTGTTTCTGATGTAATCCGAGGCATTTGTAGAGATTTCTTAGAATCTCAGCAGTAATGTTGGTATTTTAATAACTGAAAGAAAAAAATGCAAGGGGCTCTATGTATAAACTGTATTCTCATAAAAATGAAATTATGTAGCATTCTAGGATCAGACACTATTAATGATGTCTGGTACTCTTTCAAGCAAATAACATTCATTTTAAAGCTTCTACATTCTGATTTTAATTTATAACCTATTCAAAACATTCTGCTGAGGCTGCATCATCCTGACTTCAGAAACTCAGAAAAGGGGCAAGATCATGCATTTAAAGTTCTTATAACATGTCTATTAAGTGTGTATTTCAATTTAAAAAAAATCTGATACTTACACCAAAAGCAACATTCCTTCTAATTCTGTAAAGAAAAATGAAGCTTGAAAAGAAATGAGTTCTTCTAAAACATTCTGGCCCAAATAAGTAGCTTAACACAAAGAAAAACATAGTTGAAAACTTCTATTACAACGCATACCTAAAGTTAAATTTTGGGTGAGATTCAAGGGAATTGTTATGTATCAAGCTCCTTTTGTAGGGTATTTTCAAAGTAATTTATGACTGAAAAAAAAAATCACACTGAACAAGATGGCAGGTTACCTGGTATTTTTCTATTTATATCCTTAATTTTTTTATGTGTATAGATAACTTCTAGAATACAGGCTAAATATATCAATGTACTGGTGAAAAAATATGGAAAGCTTTTAAACACCACTTCCATTTTAAGTATTTAGCTTTAAAGACCTTAGACTTTAAAGAAAAACTATGAGAAAGAAACATTGTAGTTTGAGTATCTTGAGCAATAAAAAAATACTTGTGACAATGAATCTAAATTGCCTTTTATTACCCTTATCTCTCCCTTTTATATGGCAAAAATTCACCATTTAATTACCATGTGGAAAATTCAATCTGAATTTAAAAAAAAATTGTGTATGTCCTGTGTCTTGTTTGGAAAGACAAAGTTGCTGTCCTACAGAAAAGCTATATATATAACTGAGTCACATGAGAATTTTAATGAACAACAAAACATGGGCTTTAACTTTTTCTCCCATTAGACCAGAAATTCTTAGCTTGAGAGTATTAAACTATTTTAATGAAACACAGCTTCTACTCAGTTTGCCCCTTTAAAAATGTCTTTTCTTGATTTTATTAAAGTTGTAAAGTAACCAGGGCAATAAGCTTTTCATTATTTACAAGAGAATAGAAATCAGCACTTTAAAATAACAATTTTTTTAATCTCAAGTAAACATAGTAACAGCTTAATAACTGAAACTCTCATTGCCATCCATTCAGAACCAATTTACAGCTGACTGACCCTTCAGTGGGTTTCACAGACTGCAAAATTACCAAGGAGATTGAACATCTTCCAAGGTTTCAAACCACCATTCAGCCTTTAGATTAGCATTGTAATTCCCCTACGAACTGTACCAGAGTCCCCCTACAACAATGACAAAAATCAACTTCCCTCCTAAAAAAGCACTCACAAAAGCATTGCCATTGTGTTGGAACCAACTCAGATATGACCTTCCAGCCACTTTTTGCAGCCACTGGTGGATCTGAACTCACAACGAGATGCCACCTTGGGGTTAAAAGCAAAGGACTACACCATCGGAGCTTAAGTAACTAAAAAAAGGTAATCTTTAAAAAGGTCTTTTACAATCCAACTTTAACAAGAAAGCCTAAATTAATATGTAGTTTTTAATACAATGGAAATGTTAAGTCGACAGTGGATAATATTGGTTTGAAATAAAAGGAAAGAGTATGGCTAAATATTGTATAATCCAGCAAATCAATGTGTATTAAAAAGAACTTTTAATACTATATTAATTATAACATGAAAATCATACATTTGTAACACAGATTAACCTACTTTTGTTTGTAATGTGTTGGGCTGCATACTGAAAGCAGTCAAATCCACCATAAGAAAAACAGGAGCGGCTGCCTCCCTTAATGATTTGCAACCAAAGAATCCCAATGGATGTGTCATTCGACTCAAAGGCAGTGGGTTTTAGTTGTAGGGCTCAAATTAGAGCAGTTCAAACATGAATGCAAATAAAATTATAATAAAACATTATTTCTCAGACTTTCAGTTTCTTTCAAATACTTAACATAGTGAGTAATACAACCAAAATAGAGAAAAACAATGAAATACTAGTTTTTACTAATTTGTTTTAATATATCCCCCAATGATGAATGCTTATGCATTTCATAATAACCACATTTTAGTTAAACAGTGCACTGATTTGGAGTAACTGCCAGAAACAACACTTGTTTTGGAACAACATAGTCTTAAATTTTTTTTTTTAAATGCCACTTTTAATTCATCCACTAGTTGCTTCATTCTTCAAAAAACAAATTTTTACTTTCTGAAATGTTTTATCATCAAATTACCACTTAATTTTTATAGCACATGACGTTTATGACTTTTATAATTAATTTTAATTTAAATATATCACAATAATTTTCTTTTTGTGGCATGCAAATAGAATTTTCCCAAATAGTTTTTCTAATGTTGCCATTCTCATGAAAACTAAAAGGATATTACAGTTTGTTAAAGGAAAGCATTTCAAGATATAACTTTTAATTAAAAAGAATAACTTAATGGAAAATGAAATATTTTTTTTATTCAACCTTGTGTATAGGTATGTGTATAAACAGAACAACTAAATAGGAAAAACAGTTTATTAACCAAAATTCATAAATGTAACATCTAAGCAGATGACTTAAAAATGCACCTCTAAGTTTTTTGTTAAAGTAACAAATTATTTTGTTTCTAAAGTACTTAGTTCAATAGAAAATAAAAATTAAAAATCCCAAACAAGGGGAAATGTCTGAAAAGGCTCTTTAATGCTGGAGTTAACTGTCCTAATCTCAACCGAATAGCACTAAAAACAAAGTTTAAATGAATAGTGTGATAAAATGAAACGCTAACTTCTCTATTTCCTAGTTTAAGCAAGGGAGAGTGAAGTATTGCACTTTATTATTATTCAATGCAAAATAAGATAGTCAACAGTAACATACAGGTACACAATTTAATATTTATTATATGCATTTTATATACATCGTTTTTCAACAGCTGTACGTTTGCTATGTGGTACAATCTTAAAAATTTGCTGATTCATAGTTTGTAAAACAAAAACCTTACAAAACTCATCAAAACTTGCAAACTGATCAGAAAAGTTTTTTGGAAGACTAGAAAAAATACTTTATTGTCTTAACCATGCATTACACAAACAAAATCTTCAGTTACACCATAAAATTAAGCACATCTGAAAAAATAAAAACTGGGTTAACTAATCCAAACACAGCAGATTTTTATTTTTAAATCTTGATTCAACTTTTTTATCATGTTTGTAATGCAAGTAAAACTTTTATTCAAAATATTAAGATAGTTCTGTTTGGAATTATGGTAAATCAAGATGTCTATCTGGGGGAACCACCTTGGTTTACAACTTAAATGGTAAAGTATTCCATTTTTAGTCTATTTTAGACTATTCAGAGTTCCAAGATAGATATACAGGGCCCTTTAGCACATTAATAAAAGGATATAAAGACCAACAAAAAGTGAAATAAATAATAATAGGCCATTAGCAAGATGGATAATCCTTGATAAATAAACTTGTAAATACAGTAAGATGTACAAAATATCACATAGTGATAGGATGCCAAGATTAGTTTGCTTTCTTAAGAGTTCATCTGGAGTACTAAACCCCACTGTTTCACTTTAATACATTTAATAGTCCTTAGTTTATAAAGACAGTATGTAATGATGGAGGTGATTTAGCATCTTATGGAAGGACTTAGCTGAGCTGTATTAGGTGAAAGAAGGAAAGTGTGTGGTTACACAGGAGTGGGTCAGTGAGATCTCTGTGTTTCAGGGTTGAATAATGCAGAAAAACTTCAATACAATCTTGAGCACTGTTGTGACAGGCTAAATATATAAAAAGACTTATAAAAACTAGAATTTTATCCAAACATTTTGTGCAACTAATGCTAAAATATTTTAAGTTAAATTTTCTTTCTTTTTTTTTAAAGCAAAATAAATTTAAAAGGGAATCTGTGTCATTCAACCAATAATCAAAGATCACTAAGAGATGAAAAAAAGCTACTCTTGGAGCTCACTTCCCCCAACAAGAGCACCACATTCCTAACCCTAAGGCAGCACACAGAGTCCAAAATAAAAGTCTTTTTAGACCAGACTCCACATTGGCTTAAAGACACCTAAAAAACAGACATATGCTCAGTTCGTATCTGGTACAGGCTACAAATACTGGAGTCCTTTTTGTTTGTCCCACAAAATACAGTAATTAATTACAGTTAAATTAATGAGCCTGACATTAGTTAAGATGTGATTTCAATCCATGTATGTCTGCCCCAAATAGCCTTCACCCAGGTAGATCATATGTAGTGTCTTTTCAGTAACCTTTTTAATGGCAGTGATGCAGACCCTTTTTGTGTCCAAGCAAATGTTTGTTATGATGTAAGTTTCTGTTGTATCACACAAATACTTTGGCAAGGGCATCAGCTCCTGCACTTGCAATATATGCTTTTGATGGATGGAAAGCAACATCATAAATTGATTCATCCAATTTCTTCCTGTGTGCTGTTATTTCTTGCACACACGTCTTGCTATCTAAATTCCATAATCTAATGGAACAGTCATGGCCTGAAAAAAGAATATCACAAATAAAGTTTATTATTCAGTAATAATTCCTTTATCACATCTCTCCACTAAGCAATACAAGATGTTTAAACTTACTTCCAGACATCAAATAGATTCCATTAGGATCAACGGCTAGACTTGTAACAGCATCCAAATGAGCTACCATAGAATGGATCATTTTACCTAAATAAAAAAATACCCAAAATGACTTATCACAGTTATTTAATGTGAAAGATCAGAAATTGTACCACCACATCAATCACTACAACAAACATTCATTATGGAAGGAAAAATATATACCATAAAAGTTAAAATTTAATCATTTTAGAGTACAATTCAGTGACATTTAGTATTTTCAAATGTTTTACGATCACTATGATATTTTCACCATGCCAAAGGAAACTCCATATGCATTAAGCAGTTGCTCTCTTATTTCTTCCTCTTTCCAACCCTTGAAAACACTAATCTGTTTTCTGTTTCTATAGGCTGACCTATACTAAATGGTTCACATAAATAATATTATATAGTATGTAATCTCTTTTTGTGTCTGGGTTCCTTCATACAGCAAAATGTAACTTCTAAAACAAGACATCTAAGTAACACAAATTTGACATGTTAATCATTTTATGTGCTTAGAAAGGGGCAGTGATAGGGAGCTCTGGCGGTCTAGTGGCAAGAAGCTGCACTGCAATCCTGAAGGCACATGGTTCAAATCCACCAGATGCTCT